AATGACCGTAGGACAATCTTCAGCGGAAAAACTTCCACCCCATTTGCTCTGGGAATGGAACATGCTGGGTGCGCCCTTTCTTTATTCACATCAGCTTTCTATCATTCACGTTGGTTTTTTCTTTAAGATTGCAAATTATAAAAATTTAGGCAAGATTTTGACATTTATGCTCATACTTGGATGCTTCTCTTCTTTGCTTTTCGTACTGTTTCAATTCAAGTCAGTGAGATATCGTTGGTTCCAAATTTGGGATTTGCGATATGGACGGAGAAATTATGGAAAGGTCAGTTTTTTTCATTACATTCTAATCTTCTAAAGGCCTATCTTGCCCTTATCAAACTTCCTATAAGGAGGTTCTGTCGAAATTTGTTATCAAAATCTGTATATACATACAGACAACCGCCTCATTCGAAACGCATACCAAGAAAATGCTTTCTTAGCATTTTGAGAAATTATTTGAAAATGAACTGTAACAATTTTAATTTGAGCGAATAACGGTACTTACAATGGGTCACAGGCATACTAGCATTTCTTTCATTGGATGTACCTCATAAATTATACGAACTACTTTGCATTTTTATCAATTCCATACTCTCTTTTATAAGGTCATTAAGATGAGGAAATCTATGTGTTGTTAACTTGCAAAGTGTGATTATCTCATACCGTAGGTTGCTAATGATGAAGAAGACAGTGCAGTAAGAGAAGAACGCATCTATGTGACTGAATCGGGCGAGGACCTGGCTTTGGAAGTCCAGGTAATCATACTATTTATATTTTATTTTTTGTTTTGCTAAAAAAAGAACTTACTGTCATTCCCTGATTGCTGTATTCCACTTCTGTTTCCTTAGGATCTATGTAAAATGTATGGAAGGTTGAGGGCTGTTGATGGATTGACTATGGGTGTTAGAAGTCGAGAATGTTTTGGTCTGCTAGGAGTCAATGGTGCGGGAAAGACTACAACGTTTGATATTCTGACGGGACAGTTGTTTGCTACAGCTGG